GTAATTTTCAGTACAATATTATTTTCAACTTTTCTTCGGGTAAATCCCCACCCACTATCCAAATAGACTGCTCTTAAATAATTTTCTTTTGGGGGCCTTTTAAAGTATTTATTATACATTTTTATTATTAATTTGTAAAAAAAATTAAGAAAATAAACTTCATTTTCAACATGAAAATCACATAAAATATTTTAATTGAATAGTTAATAAAATTTGACTTTAACTTTTATTTTTTTATACAAATTAAGACTCTCTTAGATTGAGTTTTGTTCTCACATTTTATCCATTCACAATTATTAAAAAATATATTTATTACAATATAAAAATATATTTTTATAACATGATTTATGTTTGTCATTACTTTTAAGTTTTGATCTCATATCTTGTTTATTGTTAGTTTACAAAACATATAAGATATTTTTATTTCTTTAGACATAAAGATAAAATTAAAATATTAACATTTAATGTCATATTAAAATGACAAAGAAAATAATTAAATCAGACCATCTTTATTTAGAAAAATTTATTAATAACACAAGTTAAGCCTCATTAATTACAAAACCAATAATTAATTCTACAAAAATTTTCATACTAAATTATTTTTTATACAAGTTTTTAAGTAAAAATATTTTATTTTATTTTAATTAAATATAATATAAAAATTTTCATAAAATTAATTATAAATACTACCATTAATAAAATTTAATATACAACAACATACATTAAAAAAATTTCATTTAAAAAATAAGACAATTCAATGCCACTAAAGTAAATGGTAAAAGGTGTAATAAATAATTTCCTTTACATGTTGAGAATTTGTTTTACCCAAAACGATAAAATATAATTATATTTCGCGATTCAAACTTAAAATATTTTATTTTTAATGAAAAAATATAGGCATTAAACTTAAATTTTCTTATTTTTAATAAAAAAATATCATTAAATTATTTAACTCTTTTAAGTAATTTTTTTATTTTCTGAGCTAAAAGTTCCTAAATAATTCTTTGTCAAACAAAAAGACATTAAGACCGAAAAAAAAAAAAGAGTAATTATTATTTATCTACATATAAAAATAACACTAATGGCACCTTGATAACTGCTCTCTCCGCAATCATTCATCTCGTTCTCGCCTTCCCTCTTTCTATCGATTCTCTCTCTCCACAGCCTCCCCGTCTTGGATCAGAGAACCCGGGGGACCCTCAACGCCGAACGGAAAGGATGGTCGAAACTCGCCGGAGCTCTTCCTCATCCAAGCGCTCTCTCTCCGGGTCCCAAACCTCTCCGCCTCCCACCAATAAGCGATCCAAGGTTCTTTTTTTTTTTTTTTTTTTTTTTTTTTTTTTTTTGGTTTTGGGTTTCGGTGTCTGGGTTTCTATCTTATATAATTTGATGTGTTGGATTGAGCTGTTTATGTGTGTATGTTGATGGGAAATTTCGTTTCATTTATCGGGTTTGGATTTGAATCTGGGAATCATTTTGTTCTTTGTTGGTTCCTGTTGACTGGATTTGTAGGCGTCTGAGCTGGCGTCTTCGTCCAATAACGATTCTGCCGTTTCGGCGCCGCCGATCGAAGCTCTAAACTCTCCAAAGGAGGCTGAGTCAGATGTCCGGGAGCCTGAGCCGCAATCGTCTGATCCGCCTGCCGCTGATGTGTCTCTGCCTGAGAAGTGTGCCAATGCTGATGTTGATGAGGATGCCTTGGTGTCGAATGAAGCTCAAGGTTAGATCTTTTGATGGGTTTTCTTCTGGGTTTTTGGGTTTTGGGGACTGTTATGGGGCTGAATTTGGGTTGCATTTTGTGTTAGGTGAAGCTGCTGTGGATGCTGCAAAATCAGTGGCAGTTGGTGCTGGGTTAAACGGACGTATCAAGAAGAGGCATGTGAAGCAGGCAAGATCGGGTTCTAAAGTTCCTTGGGGGAAGCTTATTTCACAGTACTCTCAGGTTTGCTTTGGACTTTGAATACCTTTTCTTTTGGATTGGTAGTTCCTTTGGTTCAAACTTTGGTTGTTTGGGTAAAGGGAATTGGGTTAGCAATGGGTGCCTTGTTCTCTTTCTATGTTTGCATTTTGTATGTATGTATGTATGTATGTTTGTTTCTTGTTGTTGTTGAGTGTGTGCACCTTTTTATTATCCTAATATAAAGTCTGCATGTTCTGTGGTTGATTGTCAAATGTCTCCTCTTTTTATGTTGGGAATGTTGCATCCATTACTTAGAGTCAAACATTATGTTGGATTCTAGTTTATAGAAATAATCTTAATCTTGGATACGTAGTTTGTTGGCAGCTGCTTACGGCTCATGCTGTTGATTAATATCTGGATGACATAACACTGCAGGTTGCCCTATAATTTTTAGTTTCTTGCTTCCTTCCCATTTAGGTAATGGGTAAGTGAAGCACAAGTATATTAATTTTACAAATTATCAGAAACCAAAGTTACCAGATTTTATTCATATTCTTCCTTCTCACTAAGGGGTTTTGTTAAAAATGGTCATTTTGGAGAACATCCATTTTTATTATTTCTTTGTTTGTTTAGTGTTGCTCTCTGGTTGTGCAGCAAAAAGGGACTGAGTCTTAACCTTCATTTCCGGTCTGATTTATTGATTTTTTTTTCCTTATGCTCTCTGACATTTCAATTATTTCAGAATCCTCACCTGAACATGTTTGGTACTCTTTTCACTGTTGGTCATGGCCGCCAGTGTGATTTATGGCTTAAAGATCCAAACGTCAGCAATGTTTTGTGTAAAGTGAAGCCCTTAGAGGTATACTCCATGCAATTCTTAAGTAAATTCTGTGCCACAAAGCCATTGCTCATAATTCACTCTGTGCCTTTGATGGTGCTGACATTTCATTTCTCCATGTAGTCTTATGATGGTACATCTGTAGCTGTACTGGAAATCACTGGTGGCAAGGGTTCTGTTCAGATGAATGAAAGGACTTACCGTAAAAATGCTAGTGTGCTTCTAAAAGGAGGAGACGAATTGATTTTTGGTAGTACTGGTGGTCATTCATATGTATCCTTTCTAACATCCCTAATACAGTGATTTTGAGTTTTACAAATTCCTCCAAATATAGGATAGTGCATGTAAGTTCCAAGTCCCCCCCCCAAAAAAAATCCCAATTTCAAAAACACCACTCACTGTCAAGGTTAAATCAAGCAGTTTATTTTTGAGAACTGTGATATTTTGGAAACTAAGACTCTGATTTTTTGAAGGCAGGATCGATTTGCTCTTCCAATATATATTTGCATAATTAAAATGTCTTTTTTTCCCTCATTGGGAAGAATTGTTTATGAGCTCGAGTACTATAGTGGAAATAAACAGTAGCCAAGATCAAAATGAAAGTAATGTAACTTGTTTTGTTTTCTTAATGAGAACAAAGATTTTCCAGCAGCTCAGTAAGGATAAATTAGGTGCTTCAGGCTTATCTTCTTCAGTAAGCATTTTAGAAGCGCAGAATGATCCCATAAAAGGGATTGTTGAAGCTAGGTCAGGAGACCCGTCTGCTGTTGCAGGAGCAACCATTTTAGCATCAATCAAGGAGAATCCAGATATGGCCACTGAATGTGATATGTCTGATGATAATCCGATTCCGGAAGTGGATATGAAGGACGGTACCAGCAACAATGATGCATCTGGTGCCTCTTCAAGGGAAAACACTGTTGCTCCATCTGATGCTGCCAATGAAAACCCGAGTCTTGATAGGCTTGGATCGGATGATATCTTGGATGCTGAAAATCCGAAGATCCCTGGAGCAGCTTACCAATTAAAGCCATTCTTGCAAATTCTTGCAGGTTCATCTTCTTCAGAATTTGATTATGGCAGCATTGCTAAAATTCTTGATGAGAAAAGGGAATTTAAAGATTTCCTTAAGGATTTTAAACGCTCAACAGCTCTGACATCATCCAGACGGCAAGCATTTAAAGATAGTTTACTAGAAGGAATTTTCAATCCTGACAACATTGAAGTCTCATTTGAAAATTTCCCATATTATTTAAGGTGAATCTCTTGCTTCTGTTTTTATTAGCTTTTGTCTGGGAATTTTATCTTCTTCTTCCTTTTTTCTAACTATATACTTTTAGAGACCAAGTTTTGTATTTGCTTTCTTGCTTTTCATGTGAAAGTGTTCTGCAACCAAAATCATGTCTTCTGTTCTGGCTGGGAATAGTTTATTGTCAGTATCACTGCATTTGGTCCAATTGATTTCTGGATATATTTCTTATATGAAAGTTTGGTTGATACAGTGAAACAACAAAGAATGTTTTGATATCTTCCACCTATGTGCATTTGAAGTGTAATAAATTTGCAAAGTACGCATCAAATCTTTCTACAATGTCTCCTCGTATATTAATTTCTGGCCCTGCAGGTATGTCTGGCCTTTTACGTTCTACTGTTGAGTCTATGTTTCCTTCTTATTTTTATTTTTTTTTACTCTCAACAGTTTCTGGTTCCTGATGCAACTTCATTTTCTTTAAATATTAAAAGGTTCAGAAATATATCAGGAGACATTGGCAAAGGCACTTGCTAAATATTTTGGTGCTAGGTTGCTGGTTGTTGATTCTCTTCGATTGCCTGGAGTAAGCTTCTTTTACCTTTAAACTTGGTCGACTTGTTTTGGCATAAATCTTTTTAGTTTTATTTAATGATTTAGTGAAAATGATGGTTGCAAGAGCAGTTTGCTTGCTTCCCACCTCAATTTAGAGATTTCATTTTTTTTTATTTTTGTCAAGTTTATATTTTCCATTCATTTAGGGAATTCAGTGGAAATTCATATCAAAGTCTATCTTTTTTCTTTTTTCTTTTTCTTTTAATTTAATAATTTGGTGTTGCCTTAGCAAATGAATAATTCACTAAATTCTGTTTGGAAACCAAAAATGTGATATAGTTAGACAGGAGACTTCCCAAGCGTAAGCATTTCTTGAATCTGAAATGATGGATTTGGTTTTTCACTTTTTTATTGTTTTATATTCTTTTATATTAGTGTGGACATTTTTTGTTGCATCTTATCCTCTTTTGTTCTCTTTGAAGGTATCAACTACAAAAGAAGCTGATCCTGTTAAAGAAACATCAAGGTCCGAGAGAGCCTCTGTGTATGCCAAGCGAGCTGCACAAGCTGCTGTTTTACAGCACAAGAAACCAACCTCTAGTGTTGAGGGTGAGATAAGGGGTGGTTCTACTCTGAGTTCCCAACCTCTTCCAAAGCAGGAAGCATCTACTGCAACATCAAAAAACTATACTTTCAAAGAAGGCATGTGATATGCTAGCAACAATTTCAAAGTTCCTTAGTATATGATGAGCATTATTGCTTTTAGTAGTGAAATGGTTCCTTAATAGCTTTTTAGTTCTGCTGCATCTCTCTGTTACTGAATAGTTTAAATTGAAACTTCAGGTGATAGAGTTAAGTTTGTTGGTGGTGACACATCTGGACTTCCGTCTTTGCTACCCATGAGGTATTCTCTTACAATTGTTTTTATATCTAATAAATATGCTTCAACTATATACTTTCTTTTATTTTTTATTGAATTTATACTTGGAGAGCTTGTTATTATCATCCACACTACATGACCATAATTGTGCCAAATTGATGGCGACCTTAAATTCTGAAATTATTTGAGATGCTTGTTTGTAAATGGTGATTATGACAATATTATAGCATTTTATTTCAATAAGTATCATGTGTATTTTTCAAAGAAGTCATTTCCGTTTCGTACCGGATGGTACGGCTGGTATGTACCAGTTTGTACTGGTTTTGCCATTAAACCAAAATGGTACAAGGTTCAATCTCGTTTTGGTAGTTTTGGTTGAATTTCAGTGTACCAGCCGATACACCAAAAATTCACTGGTACAAATCAATTCAAATTTTAAAAAGGTTAAATGCCACTTTTGGTCCTCAACTTTAAGGTTCTGCATAATTTTCGTCCTTTAACTTTTTTATGCACTTTTTTAGTCCAACTATGAAAAATGTGCTTTTTTAGTCCTTCTATGAGTTACTCCATTAAGTTTGTCTAAATCAGCACATTTTTAGCCCCTTAACTTAAGGTTGAGGGACGAAAAATGTGCATATATTAGAAGTTAAGGCACTAAAAATATGCATTTTTAGTCCCTTTCAACAATTTCAGATTCAAACTTCTAGTTCTCAATACTCATCGGTTGCTACTCTCTGTTCTCAGTAATGTTTTGGTTTGTCTTTTGCACTCTTGTTATACTTAAAAGGCATGATTCCTTCCCTTGTGGAAGTATTTTGTATTGCGAATTGTATAACATTAAATCCAGAACACTATTATACTTCCTAATATTATCTTAATGTTCTTAAAAAAATAAAAAAAATTATGGATGTTTTATAAAGTTAGCCATTTTAAACTTGTTTTCAATTTATAGGAACATGATGGTTTTAAACATTAGTTTCTCTTATCATTATTTTAAAATTTGATATTTAATTTATAAAAATTATATTTATAGTGATAAATCTGCAATGGTACGCGAAAAATTCTGGTATCCAATATGTATCATGTCAATAGAAAAACTGGTATGTATGCCGGTATGGTATTGACTCCTCTGGTATTTTTTTGTTCTGAAAGCAGGGGACCAAATGCTGGTCGTCGTGGCCAAGTATTCCTTGCTTTTGAAGACAATGCTTCCTCAAAAGTAGGGGTTAGATTTGATACACCTATCCCTCAAGGCAATGACCTTGGTGGCATTTGTGAGAAAAATAATGGGTTCTTTTGTGCTGGTGACTCCCTTGTTCTACTTGCTCAAGTGATAATTGAAATGTTTTCTCATTTATGGCAAAAAGGGTATATTTGCTCCACTACTTTCAATGATTATTGAGATGAACCCCTGTATTTTTTTTCTGAAATAAATCTCCATTTGTACTTTCAAGTTGAATGAAATTAGCTCTCCTACATTTTGGTTGAAATAAATTAGTCAAAATTTAACAAATGACCTATATGTCATCATTTTATCTTTTCCATTCGATATTTGTTTAGCTCTTACTAATTGGGCAATCTTGGACCCATTTTTCTGATGACATGTCATTTTCCTTTTTGGGGAATCAAGTTGGTTACCAAGAAAGAGTTGACCAATCTCATTTGGCTATTTGTAAAGAAAATGCCATGTCATCAAAAAAAAAAAAAAAGCCCAAAAGTGTCAAATCAGCAAGAGCAGAAAGACAAAATGATAACTTATGATTATGTCATCAGTTAGATTTTAACTAATTTATTTCACCTGAAATGTAGAAGGGCTAATTTCATTCAACTTGAAAGTATGAGGGGAGATTTGTTTCAAAAAAAAAAAAAAAAAAAACTAGAGGGGTTCATTTCAATAATCACTGAAAATAGAGGGGTAAATATACCCTTTTTGCCCTCATTTTTTTGTGTTCTGTTGTCTAATCTTACCTATTATTTCCTCTTCATTCAATATAGCTGATTCACTTTGCTTGGATAGTTCTGGAGGTGATGACAGTGACAAGGTTGTTGTTGAAGAACTGTTTGAGGTACATTTGGTTTTAATTGGTGGATGAAAGTTCAGTCATCTTGCCTTGCACTTTTAAGTACTAAGCTCTGGCTCTCTCATATTTATAGGTCACAATTAATGAAAGTAAAAACAGTCCCTTAATATTGTTTTTGAAAGACATAGAGAAATCTATTGCTGGAAGTCATGATGTGAATGCTGCCTTAAGGAGTAAGTTTGATAATTTGCCTGCAAATGTTGTTGTAATCGGCTCCCATACCCAGATGGATAATCGTAAAGAAAAGGTGACAGAGTCTTTTTTTTTTAAGTACTAAGCTCTGGCTCTCTCTCTAAATGACTTGCCTTAAAATTTTTCATTTTCCGCTGTGCAGTCGCATCCTGGTGGTCTTTTGTTTACAAAATTTGGAGCGAACCAGACTGCTTTACTTGATCTTTCTTTTCCGGTATGCTAAGCACCAACTTTTTATTTCTTTTCCTGAATATTCTTTTACCACTTGTTATGATCCTTGAATATTTTAGATGTAAACGGATTTGAATTTTATACATTTGCGATTTGAGGTTAATTTCCATGTGGCATACTGTTTTATTGAAATGCTGAACATAACATAAATATTTTCATTTTTCCATGCAGGATAATTTTGGTAGACTGCATGATAGGAGCAAAGAAATGCCTAAAGCAATGAAACAAATTACTCGTCTTTTCCCCAACAAAGTAACCATACAGTTGCCTCAGGTGGGTTTTGTTCGGTTTCTGATGTAGCTCTTAGGGTTTTCTGAATGTCTCATCTAACATTTTTGAAAATCAGGATGAAGCTTTACTTCTGGACTGGAAGCAGCAATTGGAGCGTGATATTGAAACTCTCAAGGCACAATCAAATATCATTAGCATCCGCACAGTGAGTATTGTACATTGCAGAATAACCTTTCTGATCTGGCAAAACCCGTAACATTAGAATATGATGATTGGATGCAATGCTAGAGGATAAGAAAGGATCTGTATCTACATCTTTTGCTTGTTACAGGGTGGTATTTGAACTATGAATGTGGAGGATAAACAGGAATAGGAGATGTAGAATCATAAAAGAAAAAGAAAGAAAAGGGATGTGCCTCTTTGATAGTTGAATTGAAGTGTGATTTGAGATCACATCTCATCCATAGCTCCTGAATGGCACTTTTGTTTGCTTGGTACATTTTGGGTTCCACTCTGTAGGGGCCATATATTTTTGTATAGATGAGAAGCAAGAAAATAATTCAGGACTTGTGGAAGTAGTCATCTCTTGTCTTGACATCTATGTGGGATTTATTTGTTAAGTTAATATGTTTGAAAAAGCTGCTAGCCTTTTTTAGGTATTTCTTAAGACTTTTATGCAATATTCTTATGCTTCCAGGTTCTCAACAAAAATGGTCTGGACTGCTCTGATCTTGAAGCTCTCTGCATTAAAGATCAAACTCTTACGACTGAGAGTCAGTGTTCTCAAACTATTACATATTATTTTCTATTCTTACCTCAATGCTTACTGATTCCATGCATTCTCAATTGTAATAGATGTGGAAAAAGTGGTTGGTTGGGCTATAAGTCACCACTGCATGCAATCTTCAGAACCGTTGAAAGATGCTAAACTTGTTATTTCTACTGAAAGGTTATATATATTTTAATGTTATTTCATTTGCATCTCTGACGTGTTAGAAGAAAGCTAATAATTATGTACTTGATGGTTTTACAATTTCACTGACTTTTTGTCTTCAGCATTAAGTATGGGCTGAACATTTTGCAAGGCATACAAAGTGAAACCAAGAGCTTGAAGAAATCACTCAAGGTAAATTCTCTCTTCTATTGCCTGTGAATATGAATTGCTTCTTAACAGATGGAAGATTAAAATTAATTTTCTTAGCATCTACTCTAGTAGCATTTAATTTGGGGTATTTTCATGAGACAAGTTGCATTGAACTTGATTATTTTCAGGATGTGGTCACTGAGAATGAGTTTGAGAAGAAACTTCTTGCGGATGTCATCCCACCAAGTGATATTGGAGTTAGTTTTGATGATATTGGAGCCTTAGAAAATGTGAAAGATACCTTGAAGGAATTGGTGATGCTTCCTCTTCAGAGGCCCGAATTGTTTTGCAAAGGACAGCTAACAAAGGTTAATCAGAATATACTATCTTTATATTTAAAGTTTCTTTGTGTGCATGTGTTGGCTTGTGAATTGCCTGTATAATTTTTATCTTCTTGTTTATGTGTCTATTGTTTTCATGTGTATGTTATTCAACTCTGCAGCCATGCAAAGGAATATTGCTCTTTGGGCCTCCTGGTACTGGAAAAACAATGCTTGCCAAAGCTGTTGCGACTGAGGCTGGTGCAAACTTCATTAACATATCAATGTCCAGCATTACTTCAAAGGTATTTGAGTGCCTATACGCTGTTGCCCTGGATGATCTGTTCATTGGATTATTATTATTATTATTATTATTTTTTGGTAAGTGGAACCTTTCTGCTTTCTAGAGAGAGGGTATAAGCTGCAGTCCTCCCTATCCATCCATAAGGGAGGAGCTGCTGGCCTGAGTATGATGCAAAACTTTGAAGCTGACCAGCTTTTAGGATTGTGGCTGGCATGACCATGGTCCTCACAAACTTCTTTTTTGAAATATCTAACATCAGTATATTGTTTTCAGTGGTTTGGTGAAGGAGAGAAGTACGTCAAAGCTGTTTTTTCATTGGCCAGTAAAATTGCACCTAGTGTTGTTTTTGTTGATGAGGTTTGTTCAAGTCATATATGGACTCCTTCCTTGTATTTTCTTGATGTATATGCATTATCATGATTGATTTTTTGGTTCTTGATTTTCTTTCTTCATTATTTCATGATCTCTTAAGTAGGAGATGCAATTTTGCTAATTATGGATTGGTTCTTTTAGGTTGATAGCATGTTAGGACGACGGGAAAATCCAGGTGAACATGAGGCTATGCGTAAAATGAAGAATGAATTTATGGTGAATTGGGATGGTCTACGTACAAAAGACAAAGAACGAGTGTTGGTGCTTGCTGCTACAAATCGGCCTTTTGACCTTGATGAGGCAGTTATCAGGAGGCTTCCTCGAAGGTGAATCTTATGTTTGTTATTTAATTGGGGTTTCTTATGATCTGACCTACTATAATAAGCACCTTGACTTACTGTTGAATGGCATGCAGATTGATGGTTAATTTGCCAGATGCCCCAAACAGAGAAAAGATTCTGAGAGTTATCTTGGCCAAAGAGGAACTATCACCTGATGTTGATTTGGAAGCTGTTGCAAATATGACTGATGGGTACTCTGGGAGTGATATGAAGGTTTTGCTACCCCCTCCTTTTCATCTGTTTTCACTCTTTTCACTATCTTGTTAGAAAATGTGAAAATATTTTGAACCTAAGAACAAGGACAGCACTCAGCAGCATGTATAAGAAGAGATTCTTAAAGTACACAGTGTCC